AAAAAAAAAAAAGGCCCCCTCACCCACCCACTCCACTAGTATTTGGGTCAGAGTCTAAGGAACCTGGGCCCTCAAGCTGAGCCTATCTTTTCAGCCTCCATTTCCAAAAGAATGCAAATGCGGGTAAGAACAGGCTTGAGGGCTGAGAGTAACTCCACACCAGGCATCTAGGGAGTACTGGAAAAGAGAAAAAAAAGCGTGCGTGTGTGTGTGTGTGTATATATATATATATATTTTGTTTGTTTGTTTGTTTAAAGGCAGAGCACAGAAAAGTGAATAGTTGCGAAAGCACACTACAAAGCAAAGACGACCTTTCCTGGCCCACACCCTGGGTGCAATAAATTCAAACTGTTAGCTTTGGGAACAGGTTTTCAGACATTCCCTGGGCCATTGTTCCCACAGTAGGCTAGGGCGTTTGAAAGGAAAGAACAGCATCCCTACGTGTGCCTCTACCAAGCAGCCATCGGGAGAAAGCGCATCCTTGGCACCGCACGCCCCGCCCGACCCAGCAGGAGGGCGCGCAACCATAGGGCGGACCCGGGCTCCAGGGCCTAGTGCCAGGCCCAGAGTCTCCGCGGCGGGAAGGGGAAGGGTCGACCCACAAGCCCGAGGGCCGGGAAGCAGCACGCTCGCGCTAGATGGGTTGGGTAAAAGATGTAAGGGGTAAGGGGTACCGGGGAAGTTAGGGGTTCGGGGAGCCGCAGCCCTTTCTCACCATCGCGCCAAACTCTTTCGCTACAGCCGCCGCCGACACCACCGCCACACACGAGCTTAACCACAACGCCGCCAACAGCCAACCCCCGCGAGAGGAGCCGCCGGAAGTCGTCAGAAACGCGCCGTGAAAAGAGTCTTTGGACCATAGAGTCTCACATACTTCCGGCAGCTAGAGGAGATTCCGGCTCTGTTTCAGCCATCTTGGATAAGGGCGATGAGATACACAGGAAATCTTTTGGAACGTGAAAAATAATTTATTTTCAACACTCTTGTCTTCCGTACTCTCGTTGTTAAACAGACGGCTAAAGTGATCACCGATGTAGACAGTGGCGCAAGTCAGGTAACTGAAAGATTTCAGCAGCCCTGCTCCAAAATGGCGGCAAGCATGAGACTCCCGGGCCATAGGTCGGTTGTTACCCGGAAGTACCCTGTTAAAGGAGGGGAGGGGAGGCAATCCGGAAGTGGATGTAATGAAGGGGTGCCACTTGGCGGCCATGGCTGCCGTAGTATCGGCGGCTCCGGGTCAAAGCCCAGCGGAGTGGAGTAATATGGGCAGCACCAGCTATAGGGCAGAGACAGCTTTGTATCGGATTCTCTGCTGAACCCCTAAGACCCTTCGTTAGAGACTTACAGGACTCCTTTCCTCATTCGAGACTCAAAGGAGAGTTTGCCGGGACTGGTGGGCTGGTCCCAGCCTGGGGGGGATCACCGGCAGGGTGCCCTAAAGAGCTAGGGGTGCCGGGAGAACGAACAAGTTCGCTTGGGTTTTCCTCCTTTTCCTGCTGCTACCTGCATCGTTGTCTGTGGAAAGAGTGGGTCCGTTGTGCCACCCTCATTCCGACCATAGAAGATAATCGTTCGCGTGTTTTCCCCATTGACTTTTCCCCATCTCTTTTAACCCACCGGAACCTAGTGACCGGCATCTGAAAACCCAGGGGCTGGGGACCTAAGGTTGCTGAAAGTTCTCTCTGGTGCTAATATCAGCAAAAAGGGGCTGTTCCCAGGTACGTTGAAGAGAAAGGTACCCCGTGAACATATCTGCTGTTGGAGAGGACGAAAGAACCGGAAAGCCCCTCCTGTTCTCTTGGAATCTACACACGCGTTTAAGAACCTTTTGAAACCACTGAAAATTTGTCCGGTGGTGGTGGGTGAATAAAGGAGGGCAGAATGGATGATTTCATCTCCATTAGTCTGCTGTCTCTGGCTATGTTGGTGGGATGTTACGTGGCTGGAATCATTCCCTTGGCTGTTAATTTCTCGGAGGTAAGAAATTCGCAATTTTTTGTCAGCTGTCAGGATGGCTGCTAGGAAGTAGTGACAGTTGTAAAGGGAACTGCTTCCCTAACTGTATGTACTTGGGTTTGTAACAAACCCAAGTACATACAGTTAGGGAAGCAGTTCCCTCTGATCTCAGAGCTAAAGGTCTTATTAAGGAAGACTGTCTTTTAAAAAGATGCGTAACATTTAATAATAGAAACAAAACTCATATACAGCATTAGAGTTCTTATTTTGGGTGGGTGGATCCACTACAGATCCTGGAGTACTCCCAACTCCCTGAAATTGCATACAAAAATTTGGAGCTCTGCATTTTCCTGGAGAGAGGCACCGTAACATTCTTTTGATTCTCAGAAGTTTCAAGGAATGAAGATTCCGGATTGCTATGGAGACCTATAAATGGTTAATGTTGTTTGTTCATATGCATTAAAATCAATATAACTTCTCTTTGAGAAAATGAAGCATAGTATTTTTGGAGGAAGGTAGTTTTTTGGATACATGTATTAGGAAGAAGAAAAAGTACTCTAGAAAACTTAAATTAGGGCCTGGCCGGGCATGGCTCAGTGGTTGAGCTTTGACCTGGGATCCAGGCGATCGGAGTTCGATTCCCGGTCAGTGCACATGCCCGGGTTGCGGGCTCGATCAATGACTCTCTCATCATTGATGTTTCTCTCTCTCTCTCCCTCTCCTTTCCTTTCTCTGAAATCAATAAAGATATATTTAAAAAAAAAAAATTAGGTTGTTCTTAACTCACATTTCCTTTTTGTTGTTGTTAATCCTCACCAGAGGATATTTTTTCTCTTGCTTTTTCTGAGAGAATGGAAGGGAGGGAGAAAGGGAGAGAGAGAGAACCACATGTGAGAGAGACACATCGATTGGTTGCCTCCCACACCAGCTCCTACTGGGGTGGGGAGGGAATCTGAAACCCAAGTACATACCCTTGACCGGGAATCGAACCCGCAACCCTTCTGTGCACAGGCCAAAGCTCCAACCACTGGGCAACACCACCCGGGCAACTCACATTACCTTTTAAAGAAGAGCATTAAAATGAATATTCGTAGTTGTTTTCAAATCTATTTGCTTAGAAATGAAAGTTTTGTTAATGTGTTTTGACATTTTGGGTAATTATTATTACTTGAACAAACTTTAACTAAGTGGGGAAAGAAAGATAGATGAAAGCATTGTTCAGTGAAAATGGAAATAGGTTCTTCAGGTTGCCATAAAGGGTGCACAGTGTGCACAGTGCTCAAGGATTTAGGGAGAAGAACTGCTACATTGAGGGGAACAGGATTTCATGAGTATGACCTGGGTTCAGTAAAACATGCCCTGGTTTTACTGCCAGCCCTGAAAATGCTTTCACAGGACACGGGGAAAGAGAATGGCCTGAAGTAGAAAGGAAAGGTATAGACTAGGTTGAGGTAGGCCTTGAAGATAGCCTGTGGAAGGGAAAGGTGAGACGAGGCCAGATGATTTTGAGACATAGTTAAGCCCACAGGCAGATGGAAGGGAGGCTTGAATTGCTGCTGCTCCTTTTCCATTTCCTTTTTGTATCTTTATCCCTCAGCATCTAATACTAGCATTGAGCTAAATTTTTTGAGTACATACATTACCTAACTTCATTTTATTAATTAATTAATTTATTTAAAATAATATGTAATTTTCTTTCTCTCTCTCTCTCTCTCTCTTTCTTTCTATTTCAGAGAGCGGAAGGGAGGGGGAGAGAGAGACATCAGTGATGAGAGAGAGTCATTGATTGGCTGCCTCCTGCACACCAGCCACCCTGCCATGTGCCCTGACTGGAAATCAAATTGTGATCTCCTGGTTCATGGGTCCACATTCAACCACTGAGCCACGCCGGCTGGACCCCTAACTTCATTTTAAAATTGCAACGAGATACAAATGAGGAAATTGAGACTCAGATTATGTAACTTGGATAAATTCATGAAATATGTTAGAGTCAGGGCTATGTGTTGTGTTGTGTTGTTTTTTTTTACTTTTTTATTGAATTTATTGGGGTGACATTGGTTAATAAAATTATATATGTTTCAGGCATACAATTCTATAACACATCATCTGTATATTGTATTGTATATTCCCCACCCCGAGTCAAGTTTCCTTTCAGAGCTGTTTTTTTTAAATCTAGGTTTTTCAGACTCAGCAGTTTGTAGCTACTGTCCACTGTGGCAAAGGTAGCAGACTGGTAGCCCATGTACCGGATGTAGCTGGCAGACTTACTCTGTTAGATTAGCAAAGCATTTAAGTTGATTATTGTTGTTTTGTCTGTGTTCCCTCAAGACAACAGTTGGCTAGAGCTGAGTAGCGGTAGATTGTTGATGTACTCCTGTGAGGCCTGCTGAACTCCTTTCAGCTACCTGTCTGCCAAGTACTTTGTGAGCTGCTGTCCTTCCTCTCAAATGAACTATATTTTCTTATAACTACATTAGAATTGAATTGACATTAATAGGGCTGACATTTGTGAGCTTAAGTTGGTTCATATATTTAAAATTTATTGAGGTGACTTTTATCAAGAATTATAATTCAGTCCTGGCCTGCGTGGTTCAGTGGTTAGAGCGTCAGCCCGAGCACCAAAGGGTGGAGGTTTCAATTCCCTGTCAAGGGCATGTACCTGGGTTGCGGGTACGATCCCCGCCCTGGTTGGGGAGCATGCAGGAGGCAACCTCTCAGTGAGTCTCACATCCATGGTTCTCTCTCCCTCTCTCTCTCCCTGCCCCCCTCTTTTTTTTCTCTCTCCCCCTCTCTCCCTCCCTTCCACTGTCTCTGAAAAGTAATGGAAAAAAGTATCCTCAGGTGAGGATTGACAAAACAACAACAAAAAATTATAATTCAAATAAGAAACTGAGAAAATTTCTTATTTCTGTAAAATGCTTAGGAGTTTTCCAATTTCAGTATTTTCTCTAACTATCTTGAGTGATTTTTGCAATATGCAGATATATGCTATTTTCTTTTCCACTGAAAGAAAATGTGTACATGAGTGGTATGATTAACCAGGCCATTAGTAAAGATAATTAGTACATTATGTCATTCTAAATTGATGGTCCTGTGGTTTTTTCCAACTGTAGGTCTTAAAATGCTATAAATCAGCATTTGTAATATCTTTATTACAGCAGGAGCAATGCATTTTGAGCTGTTAGAATAAAATGAAAGTAATATATGTTGGAGACATTTTAGAACTTGTTTTCTATCTCCTAGGAATTAAGCATTTTTTCTAGATAAATTATACTGTTATTATCGACCAAAGTATTGTGAGATTAGTGAGATGATAAATTTGTAAAAATAAACTTTGTTCATGAGTCTGGGAAGCACAATTTCTACCCTTAGAAAATAGCTCCCCAGATTCCTAGCATTTCTTAGGGATGAGTGTTATAAATAGCAAGACCAATAAACCTAATTTGTTTTACAGTTCACTTTCATTTACATGAAAAGATATGCTTTTTATTCATGTTCTTAAGCTAGACTCTAACCACTGAGCAACCCAGCCAGGGCAACCAGCACCTCAGTTTAAAACATGCAAATGTCTCAGCAACTTGTTTGTAATAGGAGAGGCCTTGCTGGAGCCTGGCATTCCTATCCGTGAATGTTACATTTGCAGAGGTCAGGGCTAGTCCTCTAGTCTCCCTGCCTGATAGTGCTTTTCTTAGTATTTAACTTTATTTTCTTCATTATACTTATTCTCATTTTAAGCTGTGTTTTGTTTTTCATGTGTAATAGTTTTGTGTCTAATTACGTTAACTGATTCATTCATAGTAAATATTATTAGGGCTTTGAATTACCACCAAATCAAAGGTTTTTGTCTAAAGAACAGATTTGTTCAGTATGCTTTTTTCTGGTATTTGGTTCATTTTAAAATAGGTTTGACAGAGTTACACTTTTAAAGACTTTTGCATTGTCTGGTATGTTATCCTTTTATTCTCTTATGATCATGCAATAGATTTTACATCTGTTTGGAATTTGATTTCTAAATTCTAACATTTTAAAGTTTTCATTCTCTGTAGTTTACTCATTACTGGAAAGCAATCAGTAACTTTATGTCTTTTTTCAGATTATTTTCTTATAAGGTTATTGCTTCATAAGTATCTTTGCTTGATTAAGTTTGGATCAAATAAAATCTCAGTACAATCTGATTCAGTATTATTTTCCTGAAAAACTTTCTTTTCTCTAGGGTATTATATGGATAAACATCATTGAAACTTATGTGCACATTAGTATTAATAATAGTTATTGCTTATGGAGCTCCTTCTGTGCACCAGGCACTGATATGCATTATCTTATTTAAACCTCAGGATGAAACTGAGAGATACTTTTAAACCTCACCTTGCAAGTCAGCACACTTGGGGCTTGGAGAGATCACAAACACTAGTAGAGGTGGGATTAGAAAATAAGTCCGTTTGATTACCAATCCAAAGCACTTGACCATTAGATGACATTTCTTTTCCTAATGAACTCTTTGCAAAAAAGGAATGAAATGGATCTAAATTGGCACCTTTAGCTCCTCAAATTAGGAACTTTTAAAAAATATTCTAAAAACCTTAAAAAAGGTTTTTTTGGAGGTTAGTAGCCTGAAATGTCCAAGTGTAATACATCTGAAGCCCAGTAGGAAAACAGTCATTGACATTTTGGAGTTGGAACAAAACAACTGGTCATCTTCCCAGGCCATGATGAGAAAATTTTGGCTTACCCATCGGCTTAACCACAAATCTCCAAGCTGAAGCTGAGACCCAGGGGCCACATCTCCGTTTTTCTTAGTCGTTGCCTTTTCACTGAATTTAAGAGGCTCCAGAAACCTCAGTGGCGACCCCTTGTGGGCCTCGGTGCGCGACCAGCGGTGGCGGGAACCAGGGCTCTAAACCACAGAGCCCATTTGCAGAGAAGACTGTGGGAAGCAGCTCCACGACCCAGATGCCTGGGGGTCCCAACTTAAGAATATTCTTAACATCACTATCATGTTATCTTTCACAATACCTCTTATG